CTAAATTTAATTTATAAGACTCTATGTAAGTGTATTAATGTAATAGAAGGAAAAATAATGAAAAAAAAAGACTACATGTTTCATTTTTCTAACATAACATACTTGAAGATTTCTCAAAAGTATAAAATGTGGATGTAGTACCTGCTCCAGTTCTTACAAAAAACTATAATGAGATAAGAAAAGTAGGCGAATAAATAATTAATTATAGTAAGATAATGGAAAATTAGAAGTGTTTGTAAATGGAGGTAATCATCATAAATTTTGGGAGACAAATTATACTCATACATAATTCTTAATAGAGTTATTTTGGATGGTGTGATTACAAAAGAGGAAATGCTTATATTTATACCCGAAAATGTAATTCACTACAAATTAGGAATTAATTGTGAGTCACAATTTAATTCATAATTATGATTTTCTAATTATTTTGATAACGATGATGACTATCAAATTCTATTTAATTACAAAATAGCAATTCGTTATTTTTCAACCAATAATACGCATATTAATATTATTGACGTGATGATAAGTAATTTAAGTGTAATGGTGATGAAAGCAGTAATAATAGGAGTAGTGATGTTAATATGATCATAACATTTATTTATGTGCCCGGCTTCAAATCTCAAAGAAGGCATAAATCAAAGTGTTATTTTATCTTGTGTTCATATTAAATTTCCCACATCGGAGCGGAAGGAAAATTTATCCTCCGTATAAGCTTATAAAGACGAGTCAGTTGTAGTCGAGGATCAACAAGCGCATGCCACAGGATCAACAAGCGCATGCCACGGTAAATAAGTGATTGGGCCTTCAATTGAGGCTGACGCTTTGATTGGGCCGCCTTTTCTCACGCTTAATAGGTGTGCGGGGCGTTAAGGCAAAGCCTTGCGCATAGGCCCACCCAGGCGGCGCCTAATGACGCCTTTGAGAACACTGGCTATAATACAATGATAATATATATAGTTGAATGAGAGTTAATTTGTAGCATATATATTACATGTAAATCATAATACTGAATTGTGTTACTCAATAGTGATTCACTTATTTATTTTAATATAAAATATCCGGTTGTAACGTGTGCACAGTAGAACTGGTTATGTTGTGTACAATTTATTATTATTATTATTATTATTAATTATTATTTACTATTATTATTATTGTTGTTAATATTATTATTTAATCAAAAAATTATTATTATTATTCATTTATTTACACATTGTCTTTAAGTTAACCTACATTATATTAATTTTGTATCGTGCATCGCATGGGTGATATACTAGTCTAGTATAAACATAAACATGGAATAAACACTCAAAAAGTTAAATTCTAAAGACAACATGTTCTAGACCAGCAGATTAACTTCTCCCTAAAGTTGATATCCTTATAGCAATTAGGAGGGTGTTGTGCATTTTCTAGCATTATGAACAAGGTTAAGAAGGGTGGGGTCTGTTGTTGTTGCAAGATGTACACTTATACAACTTCAAGTGCTCAGCTTTAGCCGGGGTTATTTTTACACACCGTCCATGTAACCACCTTTCACATTTGTCACAACATATCCAGAACTCGTCTAGTCCATCGTGCTGGCCGCAAGCACCACACAATGTGTTGTTGTGCTTCTCGTCTTCCTCATCATTGTGAAGCAATTTCACATCCATTGTCCTACCTTCATGCTCTTCAGTTGCTTGCTTTTTCCCCCACATGAATAGTCCAAGGGTACGATAATAACACCAGTTCAAGTCAGGTAGTCAACTACCTAACCTATACTTGCAAAACCTCACCCTCATGAATTAGGGTGTTTGTCATTTGGTACACGTCTCTTCAGTTTTTAAAATACTGAATTAAATCCCATAAAGTCGGCATTGTTTGATCATATTCAGTTTCTTTAATTTACTTTAATTAATTTCAGGGGTCGGTTTTCAAAAACTCTATCTTAAACCACAAACCGAAGTGCTTGTGGTTTAGTGTAATTGATTTCAAGTTCTGGTTTGCCATTTTTTGGATTAGCCCTGCACACAAGATATAAAAAGATGTATATACTACGATCAAATTATCAACACAATGCAAAATATTAATGCTTACAGATTTGGAACTTTGCTTTGGTTCGGAGCGAATACGGTTTAAGATCGATTTTTTCCCCTTTGGTTGTTTGTTCGGCGCAAGAGTCACAATCTCATGCACCGTAGGAAGATCACTTATCATGTTGAAGAGTGTATTCCTGCACATTAAAATGATTCCAAAATGTTTGAATACTACAACTAAGCCAAAGACAGTAAACTTTAATCAAGTCATTTCCAATAGGACACAATCTTCACTAGATTTTATTGGTTCCTAAACCCATTCGTTGATTAAATCCCAATTCATATTGAAACACTAAATGTATAAATTTCACTAGTTTAGATACTAAGGAGAAAAAACAAACCAAGCGATTAAGGGAAAAACAAAAAAAAAACTACGCAGATGGTATATTCACAAAGATTATCATTTATCAATTGTTATTGATCTCAATGTAGATATGGGGAGTGTTGTACGTGCATATAACAATATTTTAGAAATTGAGTTTGAAATACACACACCTTTGAGCTTTATCAAATCCGTATCTGGCAACAAAGTAGAAATTAAAGCAACAACAAAACAACCACGCTTCACTATGGGCAGCTACTAATGTTATCCAGAATCACTTGCAAGCATCATGTCTCTTGCAAAGTTGATACCCAAAGTAGGCTTCGGGATCTCTGAAAGGTAAACTTCTTCAAAAGGTAAACTAACATGCCATTTCTCATCTAGATATCCAATCAAGTAAAAGTTCTCTTTCTCTGTACAACAGTACAAGAAAAGAAATATGTATCATTGCTAGATGCTTTGGGGCTTGTTTGGTTCATAGATTTTAGGATGTGAGGAAAGGGATTAAAATTATTTTTACATTTAATTGGCTGTGAAGTTAAAAAGTATAAAAAATACATGATCTAAGTAATCGTATAATAATTTCTATACTTCAAGCTAGGCAAATATGGTTATACATGTATTGGTCGCAAAAGTCAACTTTGAATTGATTACTCTATTTATACAAACGGCTCTTTATACTATTTCTGCATTTTCTACTACTGCTCTCTCAGATGGGATTTCGGGTTCTCAGTATGCCACTGGAAGAAACCTCCTTCAGATCCCCAAAGAATGTCCTATTAGATTCGAGTTTAAGAACTATACAATCATTAACAGCCAATGCAAAGGTCCAAATTACCCAGCAAAACAATGTTGTGACACTTTCGTGGAGTTTGTGTGCCCGTTTGTGCAATATTTGAATAATTTTACCAAGTGTTCAAAATCCATGTTCGACTACCTCAACCTCAAGGCTCATTACCCAACAGGGCTTTTCTCAAGTTTGTGCAAATGAGATAAAGAAGGCCCGCCTCGCCTGGCAATACCATTTTTGTCATCACCACCAAAGGCTGATCTTAATGATTTAAGTAACAACAACATCCTTTTGAAATGTAGTAAGAGTACAACCGTACGGATACTTCTGTTATTGCCAATATTCATCTAATTCACGCTCTGTGTGTGTGTTTTGACCGAGGAACATATATACATAATACTCCGTACATTGCATTATGTGTCTCAAATATGGTTGTTTCTGATTTGCTAGACCTTTAAGTTTTTACTTTTTATCACCCCATCAGCCAAATGAACCAAAATCTTGTTTTCCCTCTCTTTCCTTTATTAGTTTGTTTTATTATTACATCTTTCCATTTGATTAATTCAAGGTTTTTTAAAAGTAATTTCAATTCTAGACTTCTAATCTAAACTAAATACGTAATATATAATAATTTGGTAAAATAGAACATATCATCCTCTCTCCTTCTCTCCGAAATCACGGAACTAAACCAGTTTCTTAAGTTTAGCAAAAATAGTAGACAAAATAGCAGTTAGATCTAAAAAAGATTAAAATATTTGGTATTCCTAATGGAAGTGGCTACTCCACTTCAAAGCGCTTTCAAAATTTTGAATATGCTTCCCACCCGAGTAAACTCATACGGACGTTACTCCGGGGACGTTCAAAGTATTTTATGTGTTTCGCTTATGAGGTGGGTGTCATGTTCCTTGTTTTCCCTTTCAAACACTAACAGTCGTGCTCCACTAGTTTATACAGACTATGTAGCACGGAAACTCTCGGGAAAGAGTACGTTTCCATTTCGGAAACTCTGCGAAAACTCTCCAAAGAATCCCTCTTTGAGCAAAAGTTGACGTTTCTCGTTCCCTCACGATTTTCACGTTTCCATGCAACATAGGGGGTGTTTGGAACTGATTTCGCTTTTGCTTTTTTTTTTAAAGTAGAAGCAGAATCAGTTTTCAGAACTGGTCTCCCCCAACTAAAAAAGTGAGTCTAGCTAGGAGTAAATTAGAGCACCAGAATCTCTTATGCAGTTTTACCTAAACACTCCAACTTATGTTTCTACTCACTGAAAGAGCATAAGCAGTTTTAAGAATCAGATCCAAACACCCCCTAACCATCATTCACAATTCATCGGTCTCATCTTGGGTGAAAGGAATTAGATGAAGTTCAACTGAATTAAATGAAAGAATGTGTGCCACTTGCTTGTCAGTTGTTTCGACGACTTGCTGACCGTCAATATATCCATGAAATCGTCCATCATGTGCGGCTTCAACTTATTGTCCGGAAGACGAGAGAGACCCTTCATCTTTCTTTCTAACTATGAAAACTTTAGAATTCAAATAGATGCCGAAAGTTTTGTCGAAGTTTCAAAATACACTCGACTCAGACTCTGTTTAGTAAGTAAGGGCACTATAGGAATTATAAATATGTTTTTTTTACGGAAACATGATTTCTCGTTATTAAGGATGTTTTTACTTGGACTTTAATTTGCTGGTCTGGTCTGATATCTTTATGTTTTTATAACAATCCAAGCCTGATTTGGTTTGGAACATATTACAGTCCAAGTAAAAACATTCTAAATGAGTGAGTGTGCATAGAATTTCCCTAAAAAAAAAAAGAATATGGGTCTAGTGGTCCAAGTTTTACACATATGAGCCCTTAGCTCCGCTGGGCTTACACTAGCTGCTATCCGATTTTGTAATCTTTTTACGCAAGAGGATTTGAAATTCGATACTCCCTAATTTGGAGTTCGGATTCGGATCATCTCATAGACTCATACTCTCTGCACACATCTATCGCGCTTTTCAACCAAACCCTAGTTTGTACGCCACGTTCTCATTCATCTTTTCACTGCAAAATCAGAGCTTGATTATGTTTATAGTTCGTATATATGTTTTTTTATACATGTCTTGAATGTGCGGTGTATGCGTCTGTTTTTTTCTTCGTTTTGTCCCGAGAACTATGTTGCTGCTGTTATAATTAAGCAAGTGCACGTGAATTGATGGACTTCTCATTATTTATTTATTTTTTTATTCTTTAATTGTTTGCGTTTAGATTTTGACTAATTTTAATTTATATGTTAATTGCTTTTCTTAGGTTAGCTAATTGCTTCCATGGATCCTAGTGAGAGTGAGACGACCCAACCTACACCTGCTCAGATGGGTGGAGAGAATGACACTTCGAGCTTTGATGATGGGGAAAATGGATCGAGGAATAGAAGGTCAAGTTCAAAGGTACAGTATTTTTTTTCCCGAAGTTAAAATATTATTTACCTGTTTGTTCAGATCAATGTTTAAAATTGCGTATTGCGGAGTTGAGGCCTTTTTTCCCAAGGCGTATTGCGTAAGCCTCATTGCGCTTTGAGGCGTAAGGCTAAGGCGTAAATCTTAATGCATAAGAAAATTTTTATATAAAAATTTATAACTAATATGGAATAAAAATTCAATCAAAATAACACACTAAATTACCAATCTAACAATAATGTCAACATATAAATGGTTTATTCTAAAATTCTAAGTTATTTGATGGATGAATGCAATTATGCAAAAGACAATTGGTAATGGTAATATTTAAAAATTATTTGATACATTAATATAATCCATATTAAAGTATATCTACCAATATACTTGAAACAAAAATTCCAATTATATGAAAAGTAAAACAACACTAAGAAATTTATGAATATAAATAATAAAAAAGTGGAATATAGCTGGAATCCACTCAAAATAATATAAACGAATGCAGTACTTCTAGGGAGTATAATCTCATAATCCTCTCTAGAGACACCAAAAGATAATGTATAATTTAATACCTGCGGCCTATTAGAAGTCTAGAAGGATTTGGAACCCACTCATCGAAGTTAGGATGTTTTTACTTGGACTGTAATTTGCTGGTCTGGTCTGGTCTGGTCTGGTCTGAACTGGTCTGGTCTGGTCTGGTAAGGTCTGGTTTCTTTGTATTTTTATAACTATCCAAGTCTAGTCTGGTCTGGTCAGGTCTGGTCTGAACTGGTCTGGACTGGTCTGGTCTGGTCTGGGACAAATTACAGTCCAAGTAAAAACATCCTTAATATACGGAGTACTTTTTATATAATCTGGCCTCCCTACTTAAGCTTGCCGATGTAAACCAAGGGACAGGCAGACGTACAAGTGTACAACTCAAAGTAGTGACTAATGAAAAGCAACAACAACGATGCGCAAAGCTTACTAAAGAGCTGGTGTAATAAAAAAAATACTCAGCAGAGGGAGAGCTGGATGGACTGACGCATGCTAATCAGAAGAAGAGATGAGTATTTTGATGAGTCCGAAATTAATAATTGGGTTTGAAATAAGTTCGGGCCCATGCTTTCCATATAATCTGCAAAGTTAGTATTGCGTAAGCCTTCTTGCGCCACGTATCGCACGCCTTATATCGTACGCCTCAGCCTAAAAGGCGTAACCTTTCTTATGGCGTAAACTAGACTTCGCCTTTAATCGCAACATGCCTGGAAATCACTGAGGCGCGCCTCAAGGCGCGTTTCTATTGCGCAATTTCAAACGTTGGTTCATATTGCTAATACGTCAAGTTAGGGAAACAAGTTCAGATACTGTGTTTCTTAATGATTTTGGGAGTGTTATGTGGAAGCAATGCTGAACATCAGTTTTTCAAAAACTCAAAAAGATTTTGCAAGAATGTAACCGTGGACATTCCTTCAATTTGTAAATAATGGGATGGAGTTGGATGAGCTACCCGTGGACATTCACACCATGGGGTACATTTCATATTTACATCTGAGAACCTTTACAGATATATTTTGTTATGCTTTCTTCTCAATGAGAAGAAAGTGGCCTTTCATACATTGAAAAAATGATGAATATTAAATGAACAATCACATGTCTCACAATGCACCGATGCCTAGTGCAATTTTTCCTTCAATCTTTGTTCCTTTATCAACTATTATATGAAATTAATGTCTTTGTAGGAGCACTGGCTGTAACTTTTAATTACAGATTACAGTGAATATTCTATTTAGATTATATCCATTAATTCATTTAGTTTTTGAAGAACTCAAAAACTATGTGTGACCTATGAGCCTATGACTCAAAATTTTTGAGACGTAAGACCATTTGTAGTGGTTAAGGGGCTAAATTGTTAAAAACGGACTCCGTCTACATGAAAACAGTGTTTAGACTCTCATTTCTCTGCATTCCAGCACTGTCAATAAAACACATTCAACACATCTTTTTACATACCAATTTAGTAAAACATTAATTAAATTATTATAAGTAATGTTTTCCTTTTATTTTTTTCCCTGAATAATTATGAAATAAAAAATACACATTCCAATGTAAAAATAAATAAATTTCAATAATTTTTTTGAAGTTTTCCGATTAACAAAAAATTAACTTAGTTCAAGTAAAGTTCGATTGTGGAATATTCAATTATTTGTGATGGCTCCATGAATTAAAAATTTGTGTTTCATGTTTTGTTGGGGTTCAAGAAAACTTCAACAGTTAAAACTTAAAACTTCAGTTTTTTTTTTCATTTTATATATTACATATTGGTGTCATATGAAAGATCATAAAAATTTTTAGATTTTGATATATTTTTTGAAAAATTTGGAGTAAATAAAAAAGTTATATAAGTATTTAAAAAATTGGGATATTATGATGCAAAGATGATATCAGCATGGCATCATCTGCACAGAAAATGCAACCTTCGTCCCTCATTTCTCTTCTTTTTTCTTTCTTTTTTCTTTTCCCACTCTTCTAAACCAACACTCTATTTTAACCCCTTCCATCCCCTTTCCCACTTTTAATACCCCCTTTAAACTTCCACTACACACAATTATGAGTCTAAAAATTATACATTTAGCTTTTTGGACTCCTAATACCTCACCACTCCAAATGGTGTAATGCTTTCTCATTTTGCAAACATATCAGAAACACTTTTGTTGATATATCAGAAACATTTCAACCTTTGACAACTATTCCTGTTTAAATCTGACATTTCTCAGTGCAACGTTTTTCATTTCACATTTCTGTGCAACATAGTGATTTTGAGCTTTCAGAGCGTGTCCCTTTAGAGGAGCTTTTGAATATTGTCAGGACGAATCCATATATTTTTGGCCAATCACTATCTAAGTATCTAGTAAGGAGTTACTTGATTGAATTCACTCTACTGTGCTGGGGTTTTACATATTTTACGGTTGTGAGTACTGACTACTGAGTAGTAGTTCTTGGTGTGTCGGATGAATGTGGGTTTAATTTTGGCTCTGTAGGTATGTTTTCACATGCTTACATAAATAAAATTGTTTTATTATTACAAACATGTCATTTTTTGTTTGTAAGACTTTCACTACTGTGTATATTCTCTACTAATGAGTGTGTCTTATACCTGCTCTTCACATTGTGTCACAGTGTTACCAGCAGTTAGTAATAGATTATGCGGTAGTTGTGTTTATAGAGATTATTATGTGGTGTGTTTGCTCCTACTTCAAAATTTGTCTTTCTTATATGCCTAAAGTTGAATTGTTTTGTATATTGCAGCATAGCTCTCGTGATTATGAGCACGAAAAGGAGTCCTCAAGAAGCAAGGATAAGGAAAGGGAGAGAGGACGTGATAAGGATAGAGATAGGGATAGAGACAGAGACAAGGATCATGACCGTCACCGTAGAGATAGGAGCGAGAGAAGGAGAACTCGAGAGAGTGATGCTGAAGTTGATAATGATGACTATTACAAGAGTCGAGACCATGATAGGTATGCTATTTTACTTTCCTTAGTTTTATTTTGCTGAGGCGCGGGGGTCATGTTTTATTGTTGATATTGGTGTCATTTTTTCACTGGGATTGTAGTATTCATCTTTTCTTTGGTCTCGATTTGAAGGATCAAACACACCTTGTACTTAAAAAAGGTTGGGTTGGTTAGTTAAGGAATCAAAATTTATTCTACGAGGTGTTCTATTGGGATTTGTGTAATCTCTAAACTCGCTGGAACTCAAGTTACAGTTTTTTGCTTCCGAACTTCACTCATTTGAATACAAGATTAATGACTTTGTGCATGAATACTTCAGTTGGGTTCTTCCACTTGTCAACACGCTAATGGGTGCTTGCCATATCTGTAGAGAGTTATATTGACCTCTGGCCAGTTTTCTTTTACCCGCAGTGGAAGTGGAACTTTGCTAAAAACATTTGTCGTGATGAATAATATCTTAACTATTCTATACTTGTAGTGTTTTTGGACAAACTTTTTGCATCTAATGCTTATTGTGTCTTATTCTGCATACAGGCGCAGAGATAGGGATGGAAGACACAGACACAGATCTAGATCCTATGACAGAGAAAGAGAGGAAAGACGATCACACAGGTCGAAGTCCCATGACAGGGATAGAGTGGAAAGACATAGACATAGGTCCAAGTCCCGTGACAGAGATGTAGAAGAAAGGCACAAGCGTAGGTCCCACTCTAGGGGAGGATCTAGGCACAAGTCAAAATCAAAGTCTCCATCTCCTATTCGATCTCGTTCCCGATCTGTTTCTAAAAGGTTAGTTGTGTATAGTTGTTAGTTAAGAAACATTTGGTTCCTCGCAAAAGAAGAAGAAGAAACATTTGGTTGTATACAGCCTTGAATAATTAATTAATATCAATAAAACTAATATTTACAAGAACAATAAGTGGCAGGGCACTTTACGCAAAGCAGTTCTTGTCCAGTGGACAAATAGTAAATTACATTTACTCCTTAAACTGCCATGATGCCTTTTCTATCTCATGTTCTGAATGTTAGAGTGGTACTAACAATGTTTAATCACAGAGAGAGGAAAAGTGGATTTGACATGGCACCTACTGATCCTGCTCAGCTACCTGGGGCTTTGGGTCTTCCAGGTATTCAGTTCATATTTGTATAACCAGTGCATATATTAGTAAGTGCTATTTTTTCTCATCATTAGATGCTGTCTAGAAAATCCTAATCGAAATGCATGATTTGATTTTTGCAATATCCCTTGGCCAGTAAGATGGCACAAAAACTGAGTCCTTATCCAGAGATCCTTTGTCAATTTTCACTTTAATTGTTTAGTGTTTACTTGGTGAAATAATTCTGGAACTGAGAGGGTTTTTGCTTTGTTGTTGTCTTTGGTGTTGTTATCTTTTTTGTATGTCAATATCTTAAGTTCTAAGAAGGCAATATTGGGCTAGTTGCCCCACTCTGTTGACACTGGGCGTGAGCCGATCTCTGTAGGATATTTGTACAAGGAAGGCAATAAAGGTCTCGTCATCTTCAACCAGAAATTGCTTGTTTGGTAGCATTTCAATTTATTCCAATGCATACATCTTTTTGCATATTTTTAAAATATTTGCTAGAAAATAAGTTTACAGAATCACATTCTGATTCTAACAAAAAACTCTACAACTTTGAATTGGAAAGTGGAATTAATGCTAATATGTGAGACAGTCATTATCACCAATGAATTTGTTGGTTGTTCTCATTTTTATACCCGTGTGATGTCCTGACAGGTCAAGTTCCTGCGATTACACCAACCATTCCAGGAATATTTCCAAACATGCTAACTTTTGCACCAGGACAGGTATTCAGCAACTTGCTTATGCACATAGTCATATGTATAAGGCAGTTTTTGAATTTTTATTTTTTTTATTTTTATGGCAGTTGGGAGCTCTCCCTGTTATGCCAATTCAGGCTATGACTCAGCAGGTTATTTATGCTTCTTTTGTTGTGGCTTTCTTGTGAGCATTATATGTCTACTACTAAATTATGCTTTCATTCTCATCTTATATTAAAGCAAAATCCTTGTGGTTGAGGTTTAGCCATGTAGGTGGACAATAAGTTTAGTGGGCTTGAATAGTTGTATTACCCAATACTCATTTTGGTAGATTGACCAAATTCGCTAAATTTGTTTTTAGGCTACGAGACACGCACGTCGAGTGTATGTTGGTGGACTTCCTCCAAGTGCTAATGAACAGGTTAGTTGCTTGGTATTGGTAATTATTTTTTCGTTAGCTTGCCCATCCATTGCGATGAACCAGTTCCACCTTTTCTAATGTGGTTTTGAGTAATCTTCTCTGGCATACCGTGCAGTCTGTGGCAATATTCTTTAATCACGTAATGGCTGCAATTGGTGGAAACACAGCCGGTCCAGGTCGGTAAATATTGTGTTTTTTCTTCTATGGCTTTTTCCAACAACAATAAATTGAGTGTTTAGCTACTTGATTTCCAGGTGACGCAGTGGTCAATGTTTACATAAATCATGAGAAAAAATTCGCGTTTGTAGAGATGAGATCAGTTGAAGAGGCCAGCAATGCCATGGCACTGGATGGCATTATCCTTGAGGTACTGCTGAACTTTTTGTTTAACAGGATCAACTTTATATGATGAGTTAAAACCCAATCTAGTCCTCATTTTGTATCCAACTCAGTTTGGTCCTAAACATTAAATTTTGGACCAAATATAGTCCTCACAGATTTGGTTCTTAATAGGAAGGCTATCTTTATCAGTACACTAAATCATGTCTCAATTTGGTTTACTTTCGATGCAATTTGGTCACCGGTGTACAAAATATTCTTCTTGATTAGACCAAGATATGGATGAGGACCAAATTGAGCCTTAATTGCATTGTGGAAGACCAAACTGTGAAGGATGTTAAAGAAAATTGTGGTCCAAATTAAGTAACTGTGTGTAGGCACAGGACTAAATCGGGTATTTACTCTTTAGATTAAGTAGGGAACTCAAGTTAAGGTCAGACTTGACCTTTTGCATCCCTTTTTTTCTGTAGGGAACTCAAGTTAAGGTCAGAAGACCTACCGATTACAATCCATCTCTGGCTGCTGCACTTGGTCCAAGCCAACCAAACCTTGACCTGAATCTTGCAGCTGTTGGGTTAGCTCCAGGGTCATCTGCTGGGCTTGAGGGCCCTGACCGTGTCTTTGTCGGAGGCCTTCCATACTATTTCACTGAAGCTCAGATTCGAGAGCTTCTCGAGTCTTTTGGACCACTTAGAGGGTTTAATCTTGTGAAAGATAGGGAAACAGGAAATTCAAAAGGCTATGCTTTCTGTGTGTACCAAGATGTTTCCGTTACTGATATTGCTTGTGCAGCTCTTAATGGGATTAAGATGGGCGATAAGACTCTTACTGTTAGACGTGCCAGTCAGGGTTCATTACAACCTAAACCAGAACAGGAGAGCATACTGTTACATGCACAACAGCAAATAGCGCTACAGGTAGATTTTCTTTTTGATCATCCCCCCCATGACATTTCTACTCCTATTCCTGTTAAAGTACTCCATGCTGATAACATAGTCCTGTTTGAGTAAGGTGCAACTGTTTATTTTTAACTAAATCAGTCCAGGGACAAGCGAGTATATATTATGACTGTCCACTTGTTTGGGGTAGTTGAAAAAACCTGTTTGCTGCATGGTTCTGTATTTTTTTACGGTAGCATGTAATTTTAGGAAAATGGTTCATTTATAACTGGACTCTTTTTTTGTGTGATCAAAGTTTTTGTAACACGGGGTTTTTTGTGCGGCGTTGGCGGCGGTGTGGTGGTGGAGAGTAATATGTTACATGCCAATGGCTGCAGTGTACTGTGCTCATTCTAGACTTCAAGGAAAAAGAAACAAAATGCTATCACATTTCATTCCTGACTTGTGACCCTAGCAGGAAAATGAAAAGAATAATTGTTTTTAGAAAAAATATTAGATTGAGGTTTCCCCAAGGTAGTCAAAGTCGCAAGGCGCACTTAAGGCGCGAGAGTACTTGTATCGCCTGAGGCACAAGGCGCAAAAAAGCGCTCGCCTGACTCGTTTCAAGTGCACTATTTAGAAAATATTATGTACACTCTTCTAGAGTGATCAAATACGTTATATTTCAACATCATATTGAACTAAATGCATCAAAAAGTCGTGTTTCTAAAAAATAAAGCCACGATTAACCAAAATAATGTCATTGTTCACAAAGAAAAAACAAGTGGGGTCTGTCTTTGTTGATATTTCAATTTCAGCGCTAGAATTATACTGTATAATAAGATAAAATAATTTAGAGTACATATAATGTAAACTGGTAGTCAGGTACATATAATATGTTTGAGTTGTATAGAATATATTCGAAGCAAAAAGAACTATATAAAGTATGCATAGATGACTGGAACTGATAAAAGCAGAGAAAGAAGATAGACTGAAAGAATAAATTGAAAGGATCACCAAGATGATGACATAATAAATGAAACTACAAGCTGAAAAATAAAGAAAGAACATGGGAAGATGATGATGAAGAAGACACCTTATGGGCTTCTGGCTTCTGTGGGTTCGTTGAATGTGTTCCAGTGCTGAGCATGTTGCCCAAGTAGAGCACATAGCAGCACAGAAGAGTCACGACTCACCATGAAGTCAAGTCTCAAGATAGAAGACTTTCCCCACAACTAAGAAGGGTTTAATATGGGTTTAAGTTTTTTTTTACCTATTATCAGTATGGGCTTATTACTTGAAGTAGGATCAAACAAAAAAAATAGGCTGATAAGTGTTTCCCAGCCCAGGCGGCTTAAGCATGCGCTTCTCTCAGCTTCGGCGCTTCTGCGCCTGAACTGCACTTTAGACAGGGAGCTGCGCCTGGCCATTCTTCAGTCGCTAAACCTCTTTTGCGCTGCACCTGGTGCGCTTAGGCGCCTAGGCGCTCGCTTTTGACTACCTTGGGTTTCCCACTCTTTATGTTGTAGAAATATATGTATATGTGTATGTATATGTATATGTATATATACATACACATATATAATACATAAAGATTCTGAACAGATCTAAAAAAAATTATTTATTGGATTCTGTCCTTCAATTTCCCTATTTCCTTTTCAATTTTTTTTTCCTTGGTAATTTTGTGTTCCAAATTGACACTTCACAAAGGGTCTACATGCTAATGGTCTGACCAAATGTTTTTTTTCCTGCAGAGACTCATGTTACAACCTGGTGGGTTACCCACAAAGGTGCTATGCCTAACAAATGTGGTTAATGCGGATGAGCTAAAGAATGATGAAGACTATGAGGATATATTGGAAGATATGAGGATGGAATGTGGGAAATTTGGTAGTAATATTGTTGTTACTATTAATATTATGCCAATAAGATTTCATTATCTATCGTAATTATTAATATAATAATGACCAGGATTTTTTTTGTGACTAACAGAACTTTGTGAGCTGTAAGTTTTACGGAGTATTATTTACTTTCTTCTTTCACGGTTGTGTAGGTACCTTGGTGAATCTAGTAATCCCTCGCCCACGCTCTGATGGTGAGCCTACACCGGGAGTTGGAAAGGTCAGGGTTGAACATACTCCGTAATTTACATTGGTCATTATCAACCCCTCCCAAAAAAAACATACATACGACTAACACAAAAATGGTTAATTGTTTGCTACAACACTTCTGCAGGTGTTTCTTGAGTACGCTGATGTGGAGGGTTCTAGCAAAGCCCAGCAAGGGTTGAATGGAAGAAAATTCGGTGGAAATCAAGTGGTTGCTGTGTTCTATCCCGAGAACAAGTTCTCTCAGGGAGACTATGAAGGCTGCTAGTTGTTGTAGCTTTTGTTTCTTTTTTAGAATTTCCTGACGATGAAAGATTGCTAGTTTGGTTAGTACTAATTATATGAACCTTGAAGGAATATTGTTTCTGCACAGGATTATCCTAGCTATGACCCTAGCTATTATCCCTCGTGTCCGTATTCATCTGCTCTTGATTTATTAAATAAAAAGTAGTTCGCCAGGTATTCAATCTTTTCACAAAATGGTGAATATTAGATTCATGGTTGCCCTTGTTGCTGAAACAATATACAATGAATAGCTTCAAATCCTTAGGGAATTTCACATATGATTCATATGTTATGTGCAACTTTGATTGTAACGATATTTAATTTAGTATTATTTTTTTTATAAAAAGTAATATTTTGGAAATTCATATTTATAGAAATTTAATACTCCGTAATATTTTATACACAATAATTTTGTCACATACTTTGTATATTAATAGAAAATCATTAAAGCCTCAAAACATTGCTTCACGCCTTCACTGAATGATTGGTACTTTGGGTCCTTAAGTTATATTGGAAATGAGCAAGATTATCATAGAAATATAGAATAAACTTTCTATGACCGGTTTTGATTTTCTAATTTTATTAACTTATTAACTACATTTTTACATACGTATAGTGATATAGTCACTTTTTTGAAGGAAAACCTGTTGTTTAATCTATCAAACATTCAAACCAGAACACTTTTGAAATTGTTTGGTTTGGTCAACCTAACTTAGAGTCTTAGAGTCTTAGATCCACTACTTTTCAAGCAATAGTAAGATCTTCTCATCATTAGTAAGAATCAGACCAACCGTACCAATTTTTTATTGAAAATCTAACAGATTGACCGGTTCAAAATCAATGTTAATAATGGTCCGACCAGTTCCTACACTATAGGAATACTCCCTCCGTCCCATAATGGTTGTCCACTTTCAATTTGACACGATTATTAATAAAGTGGTTGAAAAGTAAAAAGTTGTGGTTGAGATTTGAGTAGAATAAAGTGAATTAATAAGAACCACATATTTCATGCCAAAAAAGGAAACAAGACATTCATTTTGGGACAACCCAAAAAGGAAAGTAGGACAACAAAAATGGGACGGAGGGAGTAACTAATTCTGATTATATTTTGGGTACCATTAAATTTAAATAGGTTACTACTCGAATTTGGAACCGCCTGATTATTCATTTTTTTCTTCCGAAATTGGACTAGTATTAATTTATTTTGTTACTTTACAACCTTAAGGGTACTAGAACTACCCCAAGCGCACCATAAACAAAACAATGACAGTTTACTTCCTTCTTTCCCCCCTTCCCTCATTTCAATTTTCAAGTAGTGATCCAAACATACAGACACCTTATTCTTGGGCAACTATACAATGGTACTTGGGTTTTGCAGAGTTGGAACAATAGGTAAAGCAGCTTGTTTGGGAATGCAGCCAAAATTGGGTGGTGAATTACGTCCAAGGCTAAATATAGGGGAAAGTCCGATAGCGAACAAGTACCGCAAAGGAAAGATCCACGACATTGGTTTTTCCGCTTCTTGGGTTTCGGTATGGTCGCCATTTGCACTAGCTGGTTTCGTTCGGTTGCTTTACTCAATGTGGTTTAGGTCTCCACCAAGAGGCCTCTCTGTACTACATTATACATTCTCTTAAGTCTTAGCAATGGCATATCAAGAAAACAAAAGGGGCATGTCGGATAAAATAAAGTCATTCATATAAATTTTTACATAAAATCTCAATATCTAAAAATGAAGAATTTTATTGAACATGTCTCGGGGAGGGCAACAGACTCGTAACGCCTTGTGGCACCCTTTCTATCACCTTAAGTTCACGGTAATTGAAATATTTATGTTATCTCATTGAATATGGATCCACGGGAGTGACCGGAGTTACTCCAAAAAAATGTATTGATGAAATTTGAACATCAATGTGGGTGGTAGATGGTAGGTAGTCTCTTGAGTAAATCTGAATCCTAACTCATTTAGATGAAAAACATCACTAGTATTCACACCATCTTCAAACTCCATCAAAAATTGCCATCTTCAATCCCATTCCTCACGCGATTTAACTTGTTATTGAACTAGTTCGCTTCACACTATTACTACCCCCAACTATGAGCTAAATGACCATTTAAATATGATTTGTAATACCTGAAAACCTTACAAGTGTTTTATGACCAGTTCAGTTTGGTTATCAATACCTGGTATGAAAAGCTTGTCATATATTTTAAGAACCTACCCCTATATCCAAATACTGGTAAGGAAAAGAAAGAAAGAGACATTTACTTGATGGTTTATGATCGATAAAAATATGATGAAATTACCAGAAAACCCAGAAAATCCCCCCAAAGTGACCAAAAGTCACCTGATATTTACAGCTATGGATGTCACTATGGTGACATTGTGTGTGTCATTGGCAGCAGCGTCAATAATTCCAGACTCTCAGTTGCAATGGCACTCAATGTCACACGTATAATCAATTTTTGGATTTTTTTTAAAAGTTGTCGTGCTTTGTAAATGAATACTCCGTATTATTTTAGTAATTTCGGCAGAAAACCCACTTTAAAACAAGCATGAGTGTTTTCAAAAGAACTCATGTACCAAACAAAAACGGAAAAGCTGGTAGCTAGTTCAAGTCACATTTCTTTCGAAATAGATCAATATTGTCAATTTTGTTTTAAATCATTGCTTCATAGGTCGTACTTCCACTTCTATTTTGATTTTAGACATTTACAAAGATTCATTTGCTCTTACCACAACAATGAATTCCATTGTCTGAACAATGAAGTGATTTGATAGAAGGAAAAACATTGAAATGTGCATAGTTGTCCGGATAAAGGTTAAAAAAAATGCTCCGACTATATTTTATGTTGAGCAGAAAACATAAAATATAGAAATAATTACACCTGCAGTTCATTTTTATCTCCATCTCACATCATTGATGGCCAAACTCTAGTCACTCTACTACAGCTCAGTCTCGCTGGACTTCGACCTCTTCTGTAGTTCTTCCTTCTTTGATTTCCACCACTTCCTTAACCTGTAAGAGACTGTGTTTGCATGTCTCTTCACGGTTTTGCTTGCTTCTTGAAATCTTTTGATGACATTCTCCTTCCAATCTATCTTCTTTGTTTCTTTTCCTTTATTAAGAGCTTTACCCTGCAATGAGTATACAAAATTTTCAGTTTTTCTGCTCATTCTAAAAAACTTTTATTTTGTTCAAAATAGAGATTTGTGGTTACTAAGTTCTTTGGGAAGTCATCCTCGTCATCATCGTCTTCGTCTGCATCTTCATCACCTATGTTTTGGTTCATCAGATCTTCCCTTGAATACATTTTCATTCCAGGCGCTCCTGGCATGCCCTGAAATAACAGTAACAGGATAGCAAGACATTGATATAGAGCATCAGTGGAGAACAAAACAAGTTGGGAGTCCAATTGTTTTCACCAAAATATTTCACAGACTCTCCTGTGTGCATAGAAAATATTTTTCTCGAATCTTTAAATATTATAGAAAATCATTTTCTTTTGAAAAATAATGAAGACATTTTTCTGAAGTAGTTCTGTTTTTCCTATTTTGTGGGTTAACAATTCAAGAGTACTGTATATTATACATAAAACAGCTTACATTCTAGGGGAAAAGATTCCTATTTTTTTCCCGAAACAACTTATATCCCTGCAACCAAACAGAATTTAGGCAGCACAATTACCTGCATGGATCTCAACAGCTTTTCCATTTCTGCTTCTTTTGATGATTTTGGAACAAATGGTTCCCCTGGAGTTCTATCCTGTATGCAAGAAGAGGAGAGTTTACCAAAAGTAAAACTAAGAATGTATGCAGTGGTTAGAAAGAAATGAAAAAAGTATATTAGTGGCGGCTATAATGAAATGAAAAGCAACTAGTTTTATTAATATCACTTCAAACTAACAACTTTATAACCTCTAGAGGCAATTACAGTGCTTATTTAGATATATACAGGACCTAAAACCGGCAGGAATAGGAAGATAGAAAAGGATTAGGAAACTACAAAACTATGACAATTAAATTACGGAGTACTATTCTGTGTTTCAGCAAAACCATGAAATACCTTGGGGATTGGAGGTGGCTTCTTACGACATGCTTTGGTCAAGTCCTTGCAGAGGAAATTAACCAGAGAATCAAGATTGGGTTTGTGTGTGTATATATATTCTGCAACGTCGGTGTCAGAGAAGCCCATAACCTGAAAAAAATCCAACACCATGTGTATTATTTGTTTATTATACTACGTAATTTCCAAGAGAAGATGGTCAAATTTATAACTCTGCTCTTTAGTCTTTGCATAAGTTTAAGCTCAAAAATCAAGATTGGATGCCTACTACAAAAAGCTCTTTTATTTGAAAGAAACAAATTTAAAATGTGATTTTAATAAAATGTGTTTGGTAAAAGTGAATTTCGAAAGCACAGCCATGATCAAAAGCTCATTCACTAAAATCACATTTTCTGAATACATTTCTTCACAGTTAAGGGTTTTGTTGGGTTATAAATTTCTTCATTTGATTATTGATACTGAGAACCGCATTTAAAAATTTGCAAAAAGAATACTTCTATTACAGTTGACTGAAGAAGGTGGATGAAAATAAGACAGTCCTAAGGTGTATGGTGTATTCCACTTATGTACTCTGAATAACTTGTTTTTTCCAACAGATTCATCTAAACTTTTAATAGAAAAAGGAAAGGCCTATACCTACTAGGATGACCATAAATCCACAGGGAGTCAAGGACAAAACATTAAAAAACTATAAGCTGAGGGAAACTATGTTACCTCTTGACATGCATGTTCAATAGTTTTGCACTCTGAATTACATTGTCCTTCTGCATCTTGTTCAACAAGCTGAGTAAAAGACAAAATTAAAATAAAGATCTTCTTAAATAATTAACTAGTAATATATATCCGATTATGATATTTATTATCACAATGCATTCTCGCTATTGATAAACCAATTCTTGGTTTTAAGGAAATGTTGGAAATATTGCAATAAATCTGAACTTTTTTTTAATGAACAGAGAACACGATAGGTATGAACAAATTCCAGAAGAACTACACTTTCACACACTCATATTATAAGAAAACGACATGTTTACAAAAATGAGCATTAGTTTTACCTCTAACCTATCTCCCTGTTCTACAATATCAATTTTGAGAATCCAATCAGCTTCCTGCTTCTTCAGATTGCAGACATTCTCTGAAAGCTCTATTATCTGATACTCTGAAATCTGCATAACATCATTTACCAAAAATAACATACACTGATTATATCATACATTAAATCTAAATTACTAAACAAACCCACATTCATAAATTTAACTGCACACTACCCAATTGCCCATGTTTGTTAGCTATGCTAATATACTGTGATTATGGATACTGAAAGAACCAATTCCAAGTTACTTATGCATAGCTGTGTTAAATAAACTAAAACAATCTCATTGAATTCATCAGATTTTGCTCAACACTACCCAAGAAGACTATTTAGTGTCAACCCAATCTCAACTATCTGATTAAGAATGGTTCTTTAGAAAGCAGATATCATATCAATAAACACAACTAATTATACAACACAATATGAACTACTGAACATCCAGAAATCTGGAAAATTGCAATAAAATGCACAAAACCCCACTTAGCCCTCGTTACCTTATTGGGTGAGATCTCGGATTGTTTGCTGAGAACTTGGTGGTATAGCTGACTTGCCAGCTTCTCACAGACCTGACATTTAATATATGGGATGTCTTCTTTTCTTGCCACGCCCACTGGCTTCTTTGCTCCCTCTGAAATCGGTAGCCATGATGAAGACGAGACTAAAAAGGTTAAGATTCCTAACACTACAAATTTCTGAAATTCAAACATTTTTTCTGCCGTAAAACAAAAAACTCTGTTTCTGTCGCAATCTTCAATTTCATCTCATTTTAGCATGAAGCATCTAGCCTAGTACTGTAAAAAATGTGCGATGTGACGTCGTTTCACTGGTTCTACCTCTTTAGTTTTTCGTGCGTGTTTCGCGTATTCCGATTGGTCCTCTTGATCGATGTGTATATGGGTCCCGCATTAGAACCATTTACCGACCAAAATTTAAGGTGCTTCCTCGAAACAGGGGTAAAAAGAGTTCGATATGGTTAATGTTTAATTAAGTATGCTTTAATTGTTACATTTGTCTTATATCACGTGTGATAATATTCGTGTGATTCTAATTCATTTTTTTTTCTTCTTTATATTACTCCTTTTGTCCAGTTAATATTGTCTTATTTTATCTTTTCGGGAAATCCAACTAAAATTGTCTCATACCAAATTTGATAATATTTATATGACTCCGAATCATTCTTACCTTATTTTTACTTTATCAATTAATATCAACCACATGAACCATATAATTCATTATTAATCATATGACTTTACCTTTTTTTTTAAACTGCAACGCCCTTTTGTCCCAATCTGGGGAACGAATGAGGTAGTACTGACACTGTGTTAATTCAACGAACGCACACCATTTTGAGAAATAAAATATATTTTTCTCAAATGACTTTAGTTGAAGCTAAAATCAATACAATATCAGGTGTTGCGAAGCTCATTGAAGACTCTGGGAAAGCATATGTGATGCTCCCTAACGGGACAAAAATAATTATAAATGACGCTTTATACTCCAGCAAATCGCGGAGAAATTTATTTAGTTTTAAAGACATGCGTCAAAATGGTTATCACATAGAAACCATGAATGAAAACCAAAAGGAATATCTTTGTCTTACGACAACTAAATCTGGCACTAAACATATTTGTGAAAAAATGCCATCTTATTCCTCAGGACTATATTTCACATGTATCAGTCCATTTGAAATAAATTTGGTTTCTAACACAAAGTTAGATGATCAGAAAACATTCATGTTGTGGCATGACCGTTTAGGTCACCCAGGCCATGTAATGATGCATAAAATCATTAAGACTTCACTTGGACACCCATTAAAGAATATCAGGGTTCCATTATCAAGTGATTTTCCTTGTAAGGCCTGTTCTCTTGGCAAAATGATCATCAGGCCTTCTATGAACAAAATTGCAACTGAATCACCTGCATTTTTAGAAAGGATTCAAGGAGATATTTGTGGGCCGATAGCCCCGCCATGTGGACCATTTCGATATTTTATGGTGTTGATTGATGCTTCAACACGTTGGTCACATGTTAGTCTTTTATCGACTAAAAATTTAGCATTCGCTAAACTCCTTGCTCAAATTATACGATTAAGAGCTCATTTTCCGGATCATTCTATAAAGAGAATCCGACTTGATAATGCAGGAGAATTTACTTCCCAATCATTTAACGACTATTGTATGTCGATTGGGATTGATGTGGAGCACCCTGTTGCTCATGTCCGTACACAAAATGGTCTTGCTGAATCTTTGATTAAACGATTACAATTAATCGCTAGACCATTATTAATGAAGTGTAATTTACCTTCATCAGCTTGGGGACATGCTATTTTACATGCAGCAAATTTAATTCGGCTTAGACCGACTGCATATCATGAATATTCCCCAATGCAATTAGTTACTGGACAAGAGCCAAACTTAGCACACATAAAAATATTTGGTTGTGCTGTTTATGTCCCGATTGCTCCACCTCATCGTACAAAAAAGGGTCCTCAAAGAAGGTTGGGAATTTATGTTGGATTTGAATCTCCCTCAATAATCAAATATCTTGAACCGATGACTGGTGACTTATTCACTGCACGGTTCGCTGACTGTCATTTCAATGAGACAGTATTTCCAACCTTAGGGGGAGAAGCTAATAAATCGGACCCAAGTACGAAAGAAATAACATGGAATGCAACAGGATTATCACACCTTGATTCTAGATCAAATATATGTGAGCAAGAGGTGCAAAAGATAATCCATTTACAAAATGTTGCAAATCAGTTGCCTGATGCATTCACAGATACAAAGAAAGTGACAAAGTCACATATTCCTGCTATGAATGCCCCTGCCAGAATCGAAATTCTAGCAGAGAATTTTGAAAAATCTCTTGCAAATGATTCTTCTATACGCAAAAAGCGTGGCAGGCCCCTTGGATCAAAAGACATAAAACCAAGAAGAACTAAAAGGCAGGAATTGATCTGTGATGCCAAAGATGTTCATCCTTCTCAACAAGAAAATGAACAATTTGAAAATACTGGCATAGAAAATGATATTGACAAAACAAACATCTCAAATAATGATCCAACTTCCTTAAATAAGGAAGATATTCCAGATACTGATAGAAACATTGATAATTATGAAATTTCAATAAATTACGTTTCTACTGGAATGCAATGGAATCGAAAAGATTTTGGTATTAACGAGATATTTGTCTATGTCGTTGCCACAAATGTTATGAATGAAAACAATGACAATGAGCCAACATCAATAGAAGAAGGTCGGAAACGACACGATTGGCCAAAATGGAATGAAGCTATTCAGGCTGAATTAAAATCACTTGAAAAACGTGATGTTTTTGAACCGATAGTCCCTTCGCCAAAAGGCGTAAAACCTGTGGGTTTTAAATGGGTATTTGTGCGTAAACGCAATGAAAAGAATGAAATTGTTAGATATAAAGCCCGACTTGTTGCCCAAGGTTTTTCTCAAATGCCGGGAATTGATTATGAAGAAACCTATTCTCCAGTAGTGGATGCAACTACATTAAGGTTTCTCATTGGCATGTCTGTTTTTGAAAGGCTGCAAATGCGCCTAATGGATGTAGTGACCGCATATTTATACGGTTCACTTGATACAGACATTTATATGAAAGTTCCCGATGGATTTAAAATGCCTGAAGCTTATAACTCGAAACCTCGAGACATATTTTCCATTAAATTACAAAAGTCATTGTATGGACTAAAACAATCTGGACGAATGTGGTATAATCGTCTCAATGAATACCTTCTCAAAGAAGGATATAAGAATGACCCAATTAGTCCATGTGTTTTCATTCGGCGATCAAATTCGGGATTCGCCATAATTGCAGTATATGTTGATGACTTAAACATTATTGGAACTCCCGATGAAATTGAAAATACTGCAAAATATCTTATGAAAGAATTTGAAATGAAAGATCTCGGGAGAACCAAATTTTGTCTCGGGCTTCAAATTGAGCATTTGAAGAATGGAATTTTCATCCACCAATCCAATTACACCGAGAAAGTGTTGAAGAGATTCTATATGGACAAAGCTCATCCTTTGACTTCACCAATGATCATTCGATCTCTCAACATACACGATGATCCATTCCGTCCCCGAGAAGACGACGAAGAAATACTCGGTCCCGAAGTACCATATCTGAGTGCTATTGGAGCTTTAATGTATTTAGCTAATAATACTAGACCAGATATTGCATTTTCTGTAAATTTATTAGCTAGGCACAGTTCATGCCCAACAAGACGTCATTGGAACGGGATCAAGCACATATTCCGTTATCTCCGTGGTACAGTTGATCTCGGCCTATTCTACCACAAAGATGCAAAAGCTGCTTTAATCGGATATGCAGACGCTGGATACCTATCAGATCCTCAAAAGGCAAAATCACAAACCGGGTACGTATTTACTTATGGTAATACCGCAATCTCGTGGAGATCTATGAAACAGACGTTGACAGCTACATCATCAAATCATTCGGAGTTAATTGCACTTTATGAAACCGGGAGGGAATGCATGTGGCTGCGATCTATGATTCAACACATCCAAAATGAATGCGGTATAAAGCCTATTACTTGTTACCCGACTGTGATCTATGAAGACAACACCGCATGCATAGCTCAAATTAAAGAGGGTTATATCAAAGGAGACAGAACGAAACACATATCACCAAAATTCTTCTCTACTCATGATCTGGAGAAAGATGGGACGATCAACATTCAACAAATCAGATCAAGTGAAAATCCAGCCGATCTCTTCACCAAATCTTTACCCCCGAAGAAGTTCACAGAACTTGTACAGAAAATCGGCATGCACCGCCTTCAAAATTTATGTTAATTTCAGGGGGAGTATTTGAATGCACTGCACTCTTTTTCCCTTCATCAGGTTTTTATCCCACTGGGTTTTTCCTGATAAGGTTTTTAACGAGACAGTACATCCAAATACAACGACATTATATGTCGTAATCTTTACCCCTTAACTTTCACACTAATTTTTCATAATAACAAAATAACTATTGAAGGATGAACATTCAAAGGGGAGTGTTGTAAAATCCTGGGAATTACATGTGTGTGAATTATTCATCCTTGTAAGCAGCATACTCATTAGGACACCAAGCTTTTCCTGATTATTGTAATGATTCTTGTAACCTAGTTAGAACAGGTGGTTTAATATGCTATTGCCACCAAATCTATAAACTCATCAAATAAGTGACTCATCATCAAGCTCAACCAGTATAAATAGTGGCTTGATGAGGTCTTGTAAATTAATTCAAGCAATTTAGAGAATTCAGAAGTTTCAAAGATTAAGAAGAAGTTATTTAGAGCTTATTATCAATATATCTATCTCTTAAATGTGTTCTTCATTTCACAACAAATCCATTTTATTTGTTCACTTAAAAAAATACCGAAACATCACAATTGACTGGAGAGGCACCGTTGACTCGTTGAGCTGCCTCTTCTAAACCCTACCTAAATCTTTGTGAACTCTCCAGGGTTATCATTTCACCCTCGACCCGAATCCTGTCTCTGGCAGCCATGGCTTCAACGCTGATTGAATCAGAGAAATACGATTGCTTTATCGGAGAAAATTATCAAACTGCACTGAACAACTCAATCCACGAGCTTTTGGATTCCTCCCGCGATCCCGATTTCCCAAAGAATCAATCTTTGTGCTCAAACTTTCAAGAATTGCTGCGACGTAAACCCAACCCACCTCTAGAAACGGTCTGGTTCTCTTCTGCTTTAGACTTCCAGAGCTCTAGTTCGGCGAAAAGTGACCGGCCTTCGAGGCAGTTTGCATCCATAAAAGATTTGT